TCTCTTAAGGTAAAACGTACAGGCCAACACGAACAACACAAGCCGTTCAAAGGCTAGGTAATGACGCAGTGATAAACAAACCATCTTCTATGAAGGTTTTAGGTCCACGCTCAGGACCCATATAATATAATATAATATACTATACTATAAATATAAATATATAAATATATATATAATACAGTATAAGTAAGAATATATATATATATATACATATATATATATATATATATAACCCAAGCAGGACAAGAGTTCGGGCCTTCAGGCCGTGGGCTAAGCCGTGGACGAAACCTGAGGATGAGATGGCGAAGAGCTCCCATGAAGGGCTCTGAAGGGGTCACATAAACCTACTTGTCGGGTATCATGGGGAACTAAAGTTTAACCTTTTTGGTTATATGGGGATTATATAGGGACTATACTGCCCAAAAAAAGGTTAAAGGTTACCTACTCCACTACTAGGGAAAGGCTCCTAAAAGAGATCCCTTAAGGGCTCCTTTAGGGTTAGGGTTTTAGGGTTTAGGGTTTAGGGCTGGGTCTTTGAGGGGTCATGATAAGGTTCCCATATGGGATCTGTAATTATGGGGTCTATGGCTTTGGGGTTCGGGCTTAAAGTTTCGGGTTAAGGGTGGATCAAGGATATTATTCCAAGAGGGTGCGAGTCAATCGTTGAACCTTCCCACATCGAACCAACACGAATCAAATTGGCGTGTTCTGGCAAAGCTTGCGAGGAACTCTTCCTGTTCTGGCGAAACGGTGTGGAAGGTCCTCATACGCTACCCTGTATGAACCCGAAACCCCAACCGTGTCCCTGCCCTACTTGTCCATCATTTCTAGCCTGGCAGCTGTTTTCCATCCGCGAATGTATAGACACCTTGGATCCATGTGATCAGGTGCGGTGGTCTCATGATTTAAGTTACCATAAGAGGGATCTATAGTAGGCAATTTCGTTTAAGATTTGTGCTATGGTAAGCTAAAGTTAGGTCCCTTAACCCCTAAGCCCGTATACAACACTTAAGTAATATGGTTTGATTGAAATGGAGATCTATAGTCGATAGTAAGTAGTTACAATTAGCCGAGTCGCCTCTCGGAGGATTCCTCAAATTCAGGCACAGACTGCGTTGCCTACATTAGAGGGTCTTTCCCAAAGGGTTCAAGTATCATTGTGGTATATACTTATAGGGCATTTGGGGGGTCTAAGTATATACCATGATGATACTTGGACCCTTTGGGTTTGTTGGGGGTAGCATCCTTTCAGCTGCCCCAATTAAACCTTAAACCCGTCTAGTTAAAGGTCTCTTTTGGGGGCTCCTCAGGCGAGACACCAGGCAGACAATGTGAAACTGTCCATGTGCGGAATACAAGGTCCAGATGAAACCGCGTCTCCTTCTTCTCCGAAACTCCCAATTTGAGTTGCAAGCAGACCTTAGCTCACCTTTTGGTTTCCATGCGAAGTACGAGTATCTGGGCACATTGACCTTGACGAAAAGATTGAGATAGTTAAACATTGTCCAAATACAGATTCAATAAACATCGGAAGCACCCAGAACAACCCCTAGCCATAAACACTTGACCCTAATTTCTTGCTGAACCCCAAAACCTGAACGTCAAAAAAACCCTAAAGTTCTGACGCCCCCCAAGCACTACTGTAAAGCCTCACACACCAAAAAGCCTGTATACCCTAAACCGAAAAAACGTACAGCCCGTAACCGTCGAACCGTCTATCGTATCCTTATGCAAGCCCTAGAAGGAAACTCAAAGGAACCTTAACAACTCCTATCCCACCCCAACGAAGCCAAAGGGGCGAGATGGGAGTTCAGCTCGCGGCAGGTCGCTTCCGCCTTGTCTAGCGAAGCAGGGAGCTTAAGGAGCTGCTTAGGGGGCTTGGGGGTTTATAGGCCCAGACCTTCCAAAATCCCTTCATTAAGGAATATACCTCAATTCATATTTGGGATCCTATTGTAATTTAAGGTATATTCCTTAATTAAGGGATTTTGGAAGGTTTGGGGGGCTTAAGGAGTATCGGGTTTAGGTCGTAGAGCTTAGGGAGTTGCATCGACGATGAGGATTCAGGGTGTAGGAG